ACACACACACACACACACACACACACACACACACACACACACACACACACACACACACACACACACACACACACACACACACACACACACACACACACACACACACACACACACACACACACACACACACACACACACACACACACACACACACACACACAAGGGGGTGGAGAAGCAGCAGAGAATGAGCAGACAGAGCTGGACACCAGACTGATGGAGACACCTGTGTGCTTATATGTGTGTGTGAGCATATGTTTGTTCATGTGAGTGTGTATGTGCATATATGTGTGCGTGCATATATGTTTCTGTGTGTGCATGTGTATCTTGGTGTTTGTGTGTGTGTGCATGCTCACCAGTAGCTGACATGTGTCATCATCAATGGGCAGGACAAGAATGTGACGTCATGCAGAATGACTCCAGAGCAGCTCACAGCAGCAGTGACTCACACACACACACACACACACACGCACGCACACTCTCAATATTAGTACTCTATTATACAGCTGTGCATTTCTGGCATAGGGACACGTATATATACACAAGTGTGTTTTCATGTTATAAGAAGCCAAACTACACTATCACTCTGTCTGTCTGTCTGTCTGTCTGTCTGTCTGTCTGTCTATCTATCTATCTATCTATCTATCTGCCTTTCTGTCTGTCTGTCTGACTGGCTATGTATCTGTCTATGCATCTATCTGTCTGTCTGTCTATCGATCTATGTGTCTGTCTGTCTGTCTGTCTGTCTGTCTGTCTATCTATCTATCTGTCTGTCTGTCTATCTATCTATCTATCTATCTATCTATCTATCTATCTATCTATCTATCTATCTATCTATCTATCTATCTATCTATCTATCTATCTATCTATCTATCTATCTATCTATCTATCTATCTATCTATCTATCTATCTATCTATCTGCCTTTCTGTCTGTCTGTCTGACTGGCTATGTATCTGTCTATGCATCTATCTGTCTGTCTGTCTGTCTGTCTATCTATCTATCTATCTATCTATCTATCTATCTATCTATCTATCTATCTATCTATCTATCTATCTATCTATCTATCTATCTATCTATCTGTCTGTCTGTCTGTCTGTCTGTCTGTCTGTCTGTCTGTCTGTCTGTCTGTCTGTCTATCTATCTGTCTGTCTGTCTGTCTGTCTGTCTGTCTGTCTGTCTGTCTATTACTTACTTTGACTAATATTATTTTTCTGCATTTATTCATTTACAGTTGTTCTCAGTGGCGTTGGTGCATTTCTCACAACACTATTTACATTTGCACAACAGTTCATGCATTTCTCAAAACAGTGCAAAACCCTTGCTGATAACCTGCAGAAGCGCGTCACTTTCTCAAAAAGGAGAGCTCATTCCACAAAAGCAAGTATTGATGTCAGTGAAAGTGTCAGTGTGATCAAGATGAAGAGTCCTGACACCATTGATTATCAACAGGATAGTCAAATGGCTTTGTCCTGTTTTCATTATCACAGTTTACTCTGGACATTTATTCCAATGCAAACAAGTCAATGTTGGTGACACGTCCTGAAATGCTCAAGACAGCAGCACTATATACTATTAAGCACCGCCAGACTACAGTATAGTCAGACATCACTGCATTTAATGAGGTATCTGAGTAGAACACACTTGATATGTATGTCACATGTTTACTGCAAATGCTCTTTAAAATCTGACTTATTGACGCATTGTGCAGAAAATAAACACCCTTATTTACAACCAACAAGCTTTCTGTGCACACCGGTACCAATAATGCAGCAAAATATCGAAACTAAACCAACAAATTCACAGGTCTGTAAACCAGTCATCAAACTGTTCAATTTAGGAGACATTTTCAGAAAAATAAAAGATTTAAAATGTTTTATTAAATGTGCTGACAGATTTTGACTCTAGTTCAGCATTTGTGTATGTAATGACTCCAGGAGTGAAATGAGGACTGTTAGTTTAATATGGAGAGACTGTTCAGCATTCACAAGTTCAGTTCATTTTGACTGACATGACATGAGCAGATTATAATGTTATAAACAGCAGAGAGTTGTGTGGAAGCAGTTGATGCATGTCCAAAAGCATCTGCAATGTGTTGAAAGGAATGAGAAACTGCTACTGTGATGTGCACAAATGACTAATTGTTTTGAGAAATGCAGGAACTGTTGTGCAAATGTAAATAGTGCTGTGAGAAATGCACCAACGCCACTGAGAACAACTGTAATTAGGAAGAGACGTCATCAGATCTTCATGATTTAACACAGCTTTTTCTGCAATATTATGTGAACTTTAGTTTTTATATTAAAATAGTTTGTAAATCGCGCGCTGTCCAAGAGTACTTGCCTGTAAAGTCTAGAAGGGATACAGCTGTGGATACGCATATACAGCATACATCTTTGTGATACTGTATAATTCAGATTGTACAGTGGGCTGGGTTTAGGGGTGGACATTAATAAAATACAATTTATGAATAATTGAATAAATAATACTAGTGATAACACTAATAATAGATATAATATAATGTTGTTTATTCATTTTTACGATTTGGTCTCCTCATGTTTGTGTTACACATGTTTAAAAGAGAATGTGGAGTTTCCATTTCAAGCATTTATTTAAGCAATAAAAAACGTAAAATAAATTAATAAAATGTATTCCTGTTATGATTCATTCATTCAGTCATTGTCCTACAGCTGAGTCCCTTTATTAATCAGGGGTCACCACAGTGGAATGAACCGACAACTATTGCAGCATATGTTTTACGCAGCGGATGCTTTTCCGGCTACAAACCAGAACTGGAAACCCCCCAAACACACACACACACACACACACACACACACACACACACACACACACACACACACACGTTCATCTCCAGGACGTTTGTTTCGTCCTCCTGAGCCCTAATAATAATCCGTCAAATCCTATTATCCAATCGCGTGAGGCCAGACTCTGCGCTCATTTAACTTTCAATTAGCGACAACTCCTTAATTGCCTTCACGTGAAGAGAAATGTCGCCGATATAAATGCACGAGCGACGCGCTCGCGACTCCTGTAAGGAAAGCAATGAGAAAACGTGAAGAAATGTCGCGCGTGCTGAACGCGTTGCTACGGTGCGTCGCGCTCCTGCTGCCGCCCTCCTGGCTGGAGTTTAGCGGGTGGGTTGGGGAGGCGCGGCCCAATCCCAGAGCTTCGTTCCGGCGCACAAAGCCGCTTACATATGAGGAAGTAGCAGCTCCAGACGGCCGCGCTTCCTCCTCCGACACCGCCGCTCCGTGGCGCAGATTCCGCGCGCTCTGCCCCGCCGTGGAGCGCTTCCTGTCGGCCGCCATCGAGCTGCGCAGGCGCCTGGGGAGTTTGTGTTTTCCGCTCCGCGTCGCTTCTCCGTGCAGCGCGGCAGACTCCAGCGCGGCAGCCGGAGAGCAGGCGAGCCCGGCGGACACCATGAGCAGCGAGCAGCCGCCGCGGGAGATCAGCGCTCCGGTCACCATCACCGTGGCCATCCAGGCGGCGGAGGAGGACGATGAACCGGACGAGGAGCCGTCCTGCAACACCATCGAGCTCCAGACCGGCAGCGGCAGCGAGGACGAGCTCGGCAGACACGACAAATCCAGGTACACAGACACAAGCTGTCGGCGGGGGCACACTGGGGTGAATAATGCTGGGTTGTTTTAAGATCATGATGTTGGGTTAAATCTACTTTTATCGTTCACACTTAATTGAGAAATCAACCTGTCGATAGGCTTGTCCGTATTTGACCCATCGTTGGGTTATGATAACCAAGCATTTTTGACAGATACGCACACACATACACGTACATAGACACACACACATTTCCTGAGAAATTCACATAGTATACTAAGGGTCATGCTGGGTTGTTTTAAGCTAATGATGTTGGGTTAAATGTGGTTGAACACAGAGGTTGGGTTAAAAGATTTACAATTAATGGAGAAAAATTACCCTGTCGTTGGGGTTACGCGCGCGCACACACACACAAACATGCACACACCCACACATACACGCACACGCCAAGGGCTATTTAAGGATCAACCCACAATGCTTGACCTCACGAAAGCATCAGCTTCTGTTTCTCACCGTGAATGAATGATTGATTGATTGATTGGATGGGTAGATTGATTGACAGTTGGCACAGTGAATTTTTTTTTTCAATTTAATTGAAAAATGTAATTCATTAACTGTATTTGACCCAATGTTGGGTTACAACAACCCAGCATTTTTCTTAAACACACACACACACACACACACACACACACACACACACACACACACACACTAATGTTTCTCACTGTGTATGATTGATTGACAGCTGTCACTGCTCATCAAGCACACTCTAAAAATGCTGGGTTATTATAAAGAATACTGGGGTCAAATACAGACAACCCCAGTGACAACTCTGCTTTTTACAGACACACACCCTTCCATGGACCAACCCACAATGTTTGACCTCAGAAAAGGGCCGGTTCTGTTTCTCACCGTTTGTTTGATTGATGGAGTTATTGATTGACAGCTGTCACAGCTCATCAGGCACACTCTAAAATGTTGGGTTGTTTATTTCAGTGTTATGGATGAATTAACCTAACAGTTGGGTTAAGTGTGAACCAGCTTTTGGTTCGTCCAAATTTGACCAAATATTGGGTTTAAACAGCCCAGCATTTTCTTCATCCTGCATAATAACTGTTCACAATGTGGGTTATAAACACGAGCAAACACAACAGTTAACAGTTGGCTTTGTCCATATGTGACCCAAAGTTGGGTTATGACAATCCAACACACACAAAATAACTTCCAGAGTAATTTTTAGATAAACCCACAATGCTTGACCTGTATGAAGGGCTGGGTTTATATTGATTGATTGATTGATTGATTGATTGAGAACCGTCACTACCTATAAGGCGCACTCTAAAACAAATTCTGTGTCGTTTTAACCCAATTTTTGTGCAAATATGGTTGAACAAACCCCACCAAATCCAAATTTGACCAAATTTTAGGATTAAACAACCCAGCAATTCAGTGCTAAGGAATGAAAATAATTGTACACCATATGGCGGCCACCACAACAAACAAAGAAAGAAAAGAAGAAAAAAGCTGGGTTGTCATAACCCAATGTTGGGTTAAATGTGGACAAACAAAACAGTTAGGTTAAATTTAAATTGGCAAAAAAATGAATTGTGAGCTGATCCATTTATAGCTCTTGAAGTGGTGCGGGTGCATGCATGTAAAAAATGATGGGTTGTTGTAACCCAATGCTGGGTCAGATATGGACAAAACCAACATTGAGTTACAACAACCCAGCTTTTTTTTTTATGTACATGCACGTACGTGTAACACACACACACACACACACACACACACACACACACACACACACACACACACACACACACACACATGCATGCACATTAATGCACACACTGACCCACACACGCTTACATGACTTCCAGAGGTATAAATAGATCAACTCACAATGCTTGAGCTCACACTCTTAAACAATATGCAGGGCCTGGACCCAGTGCTGGTCAAATATGTACAAACCCATTCAGATGGATTTAAAAATGTCATTTAAATGAAATCAGTACCCCTGGGTGTGTCCATATCTGATCCAATCTGGCATCTTTTAGAGTGTGTAAAAAGGCCAGTTCTGCTTTATCATTGATTGATTGATTGACAGCTGTAACAGCTCCTCATCAAGCAGGAATAGAGGTTTAGAATCCCTCCAGGATTGAAATGCACGCACGCACAGAACTGATATAATTCTCATAATACAGTTGAAGTCAGAATTATTTGCCCTCCTGTTCTATTAATTCTATTAAGTAATTAAATATTATACAACTTATATTAATTATTATTATTTTTTTAAAAATATATTGTATATATTTAATATATACTTTTATATTTTACCCTAACTTCTATTTGTTTTTAATAGAAATGTATTAATTTCTAATTAAGTTTTATTTCAACATTTCTAATCATAGTTTTAATAACTCATTCCTATTAACTCTGTCTTTTCTCTTTGTCATGATGACAGCACATAATATTAGACTAGATATTCTTCAAGACACTAGCACAAGCTTAAAGTGGCATGTAAAGGCTTCACTAGGGTAATTAGGGTAAATTGAGGGTAATTAAGCAAGTCATTGTATAACAGTGGTTTGTTCTGGAGACAATCCAACACTAATATTGTGGTTGAAAATATTGAGATTCTTAATATTAAAGGGTTATATTGACCTTTTAAAATAATATTGACCTTTTAAAAAATTACTAGCTGAAATAAAACAAAAGACTTTCTCCAGAAAAAAAAATATTAAAGGAAATACTGTGAAAACTTCCTTAATACATTAAATATCACTTTAAATATTTGAAAAAGAGTAAATATTGCTAACAATAATAATCACTTTAAAATAAAAGTCTACAAATCATTATAGATCACTTTTAAAACCTCTTTTATTCCAGCTAAACCATAAGAAATAAGACATTGTCCAGAAGAAAAGGAGTGATTTGCTTTGTTAAACAGCACTGGAGAAATATTTCAGTTCCACAGGAGGGCAAATCATTTTAACTTAAACAGTATTTATTGGTATTTTAGATTTACATTATTACTTTTCTGTATGTGTTTAATATTAATTTCAATTGAATTACTTAAAACAAATCCTGGCTCACTGCACCTTCAGATCTCTGTCTTCTTGATGTATTGCTGATTTTCTGCAGTCGGGCAGGGGAACAGGGGCTCGGCTGCGGCCCACGGCTGTGTCTGCATTGTTGTGAAGCCCTAATGAGTGTCTCTGAAGCTGCTATTGTGTTGAGCAGTGGAGCGGTGGGTGGATCATCACGGCCCGCTTTCTGTGCTGGAAGGCTTTCCTGGCTTTGTTGAAGAGCAGCTCTTAATGCACGTCCACTCCTGCAGTTGTAGAGGCGCTGATTCATTGCTTTAAAGGAATCATAAACACACAGACATTAGGTGCGTCCCAAATCGCATACTTGTGCACTATTCTATGCTATTTTGCAGAATAAATAGTGCGTTCACACTGAAAACTCTAAAAATAATTATAATGCACTTCAAATGCCAGGATGAAGCACTTACTCTGCTGATAAAAAGAGTGTAATGTTGACCAGTTCATGCACTCAATGCCCGTAGTTTTGCTTATGTAGTGAAATGGGTGGAGCTACTGCTGAGTGGGAGGGGCTATCAGCTGCTGAGGTTGGATTATTTTATTATGGATAAAGATTCTCCCACATAAGTGATCATGCCACCTCCCAATGATGAATCGAGTTGTACTTGTAACAGCTACTGTTTGATATCTTGTTTCACTAATTTGGAAACGGTTAAACGTTGTTTGGCAATTGGTTGGAATTTCCGTTTGACAGATGTTAGTGTTCCATTTGAGACGACACTACAGGTGCATAGTGTGTAATTTGGGATGCATCTGTTGTTTTAATTGTTCTCTATCTCAATTGGAGGCTTATGGCTTGGGTAGGTGCAAAAAATCTGTAACAACCCTAGCAATTGGCCCTAGAATTAATGCCCTGACCTTAAGAAGGGTCATGAATATTAATGAGCTCATTTCGAACACTGACATCTAAAAAAATGTCAGTGTTCAATTTAGGATGACACCAAATTACACTACATTGGGTATAAGTGTCATTTGAAACGCAACTAGTGTTTACATTTTTCTTGAATGAAATGCTCTTATTTGACCTTATTTGGAAGGGTCATGAATATTGATGAGCTCAAGTCTCTGAAGACATTGATTCATTGCTTTAAAGAGCCATAAATGTACTTGGACATTAGACATGCCAATTCGCTTACTCGTGCACTATTCTATGCCATTTTGTAGCGTATATAGTACAAGTAGTGCATTGGTTTGAATTTTCAATTAGTAAAATAACAACGTTGATGTTTGATTCAGGATGACACTAAACACTACATAGAGTATAAGTGCATAGTGTGTCATTAGGGTCGCAACTAGTGTTTACATTTTTCTAAAATGAAATACTCTTATTTCCCAGAGATGGGTTGCGGCTGGAAGGGCATCCGCTGCGTAAAAACTTGCTGGATAAGTTGGCGGTTCATTCCGCTGTGGCGACCCCGGATTAATAAAGGGACTAAGCTGACAAGAAAATGAATGAATGAATAAATACTCTTATTTGACCTTATTTGGAAGGGTCATGAATATTAACAAGCTCATGTCTCTGAATACCCTGGTTGATAGCTTTAAAGGAGTCATAGATTCACTGAGGCATTAGGTGTGTCCCAAATCGCACTATGCGCCATTCTAATCCATTTTGTAGTGTAAATAGCACAAGTAGCGCATTGGTTTAAATTAGTAAAAAAAAAAGTGTTCAATTTGGAACACTAACATTTAAACACACTAACATCTAAAAAAATGTTAAGTGTTCAATTTAGGATGACTACAAACTACACTGCTTTGAGTATAAGTTGTCATTTGGGATGCAACTAGTGTTTACATTTTTTCTAAAATAAAATACTCTAATTTGACCTTATTTGGAAGGGTCATGAATATTAATAAGCTCATGTCTTTGAAGACACTGTTTCATTGCTTTAAAGAGCCGTAAACGTACTTAGACATTAGGCACA